GGGGAAATATACGTTTTAGGAGTGAAACACCAAAACTAAACGCCCCAGCTGATGATTAGAGACTTGAACCGTTGAAAGAAGCGAGGAGAGGGAAGAAGTAAAGTGGTGGAAATCACGGCACGTTGTGGATAATGAATAACTTGAAGAGGGGGGAAGGGCGTCTAAAGAGCAGCTGCTGCTCGTGTCGTGCAAACTGGGTACTGTTGTGTTATTTATACATTTTGGTTTTCCCAGGATCCAGCTTCATATTTACAAATCAAACAACTGAATTATGCTAAAATACATTGTGTCAGATTAACTTTCTAAGTTCAGCTTTTTCCAACTCAATGCTTCTGAAGTGTTGCTACAAAATAAGACTTGTGACTCCAGAGGATCCAAATTTAACCTTCAGGGTTGTGTTTTAAAGTCAACTTGTTTCTACTTAATTAAAGACTAAACTTACTATTTACTTTTTTGTTTTGCTTCCAATAAGCCAGATCAATTAAAGAAGAGTCAGACCTAAAACAAACTATCAACGATGGATTAACTGTTTCTAGAAGTTGTGTTTGAGAACGAAGAGACCTGAAACAGAGTCTGAGAGACGAGTCATCCTTCAGCTGATCATTAACTACACATTTTCAGCTGATCACTACTTGTTGGAGCTAAAATCATATTTTCTGTCAATCCTTACCAAAATAAGTTCATCTCAAGTATGTCTTTACATATCCTTAAGTATAGTAAAGTATGTTTCCCCAAGTGTACCTTTATTTATGTAGACCTCAAGTACATGCCATTAAGTGTCCTTGGGTATATTTCCCAGTGTACTTTTACACAAGTACAGTATACCTCCATCTATGTCATCGGGTATACTTAAGTATAGCAAAGTATATTCTGCAAGTGTATTTTTACTTAAGTATATCTTAAGTATATATCATTAAACCTTTACCTGATTACCTAATTATTACCATTACCTTATTTCCCTCTGGGATCAATAAAGTATTAATTGAATTGAATGGAATTAAGTATACTAAAGTACCGTCCGTCCGTCCGTTTTCTTCCTCTTATCCGGGGTCGGGTTGTGGGGGCAGCAGCCTAAGCAGAGAGACCCAGACTTCCCTCTCTCCAGCCATTTGGACCAGCTCCTCTGGGTGAATCCCAAGGTGTTCCCCGGCCAGCTGAGAAACATAGTCCCTCCAGTGTGTCCTGGGTCTTCCTCTGGGTCTCCTCCCAGTGGGGCGTGCCCGGAACACCTCACCAGGGAGGCGTCCAGGAGGCATCCTAACCAGACGAACCACCTCAACTGGCTCCTCTTGACGTGGAGGAGCAGCGGCTCTACTCTGAGTCCCTCCTGGATGACTGAGATTCTCACCCTATCTCTAAGGGAGAGCCCAGCCACCCTGCAGAGGAAACTCATTTTAGCTGCTTGTATCCGCAATCTCATTCTTTAGGTCACTACCCAAAGCTCGTGACCATAGATGAGGGTAGGAACGTAGACCGACCGGTAAATCGAGAGCTTCGCCTTCTGGCTCAGCTCTCTCTTCACCACGACAGACCGATACAGCGCTCACATCACTGCAGACACAGCACCAATCCACTTGTCGATCTCTCGCTCCATTCTTCCCTCATTCGTGAACAAGACCCCGAGATACTTAAACTCCTCCACTTGGGGCAGGACCTCCTCTCCGACCCGGAGGTGGCACCCTACCATTTTCCGGCTCAAGACCATGGTCTCTGATTTGGAGGCACAGATCCTCATATTTTCCCAAGTGTACTTTTACTTAAGTATACCTCAAGAACATGTCGTTAAGTATACTTAAGTATAGTAAAGACTATTTCCCCAAATGTGCTAACCAAGTATAAGTGTATGTCTGATAAGCACATCAAAAGTAAACTGAAAGTATGCTCTTATTTTTGTTTTAAAATTAGTATACTTAAAGGATAATGGCATATACGGTATTACTTTTTTATTAAATGACACTAAATTATTTAAAACTTGTTTAAAAGTAGAATATGAAGATTTTATGTTATACCAGTATTGCTAGGTGGCGTCTTTATTAACATGTTTTTACTTTTTTCTCAATTAATTATGTAAAAAAATCAAAATTTGACTTATTTTCCTGTATTCATTCCTACTCAGTTTGCCTATACAGGTCACATCAATTAACTTAATAGCTGACATTATACCTTTTTTTAATTTTTAGCCACTAAAAATTAATCAAAGACTTGCTTGAGGAGGTTCTCGTTTTACGGGATATTTATTAATCCGTCCATCCCTGGAAACAAGCGAGGTTCCGAGAAGAAGCCAGACGCATAAGCTCAAATTCTCTGTTCTTATCAGGACCTCCATGCATTCGGGTCCTCCAGCGTGTAAGGTGGAGCGTTCCCAAACCACATTCCTCAGTCCAGATGGCTTTGTTCAGGCTCCATAGAAACCTCACGCTGGATTCGTGAGGTTTGCCAGCAGCTCTGAAGAAGAGGAGGAGGTGCTCACACTTTTTTTTTTTTTTCAGTTTTAGACATTTATACGTCCTGTTTCTCTCTGATCCTGCTTGTCTCTCTTTAAAATCTCTGCTTTTAACGACGACAGAGTTCAGAGTCAAACATTTACCAGAAGAACCGTTTCATCTGACTCTGCTCAAGCTGATTATTCCCACCCTGACTTTGGCCTCAGATGTCAGCTGTTGTGCAAGAAAAACAAAAAGAAGACGCTGCAGGGAGTCTCGCTGATCCACGTATCTAATATTAAATCTCCAGCTTTACATTCCACCTGTGCATGAACCCTGAAAGTAGAAGCAGGCAAGCTTTAAAAGAAGAAAAAGAAAGTAAAGGTGCAACATCACAACAAAGATGCAGGTTTAGCACATTTTAATACATAAAAAGATCAGATTCAGTCAAATACCAGCATTTATTTCAGTCCTAAATGTGATTCTATCAAACTGAATTAAGTGAGAAGAAATCAGATTGACGAAGCTCAAGAAAGAAAACAAACACAAAAATGTCCCTGCAACTAAAAACCAACACAAAGCTGGTCATTGTGTCACTTCCATGTGTTTGTCCTGCAGGCATTACTGTCATCTTTTAATAAATTTAAAAAAATCTGTGTTCCTCAAACAAATAGAGCTTCTGACAGCTGAAAGTTTAGAAAACCCTTATGTTTCCGGTGCACAAATCGCCCCGAGGATGAAAGGCATCTCAGGAAGAGTTTAGATTTGTGCTTCATCTACAAAGAAAACTTAAAAGCTCATCATAAAAAATGACAGGCATCAAACATCTCCGTGTTCCAACTGTGGTCAGGTCGTGAAAGCCACCTGTTTTTGCAACGAAACCCGGACCTTTTCCCCGGCAGCACTTTCCAGATCCTTCTGGGGGATCCCAAAGTGTCCCGAGGTCTCTTCCCAGTAGGACATGCCTGGAAAACAAACATCGGCGCAACAAAAAAGATGGCTTCACAAACCGCTAATCCGCTAAATAAGAATCTTAGTTCCGCTAAAGCTAAACGGCTAATGCTAACTGCAAAGACAGCCGTCACTCAGTCTGTGCCACACAACTTCATCTTCTTCCAGTGGAAGACAGGTGGGGCTGACACAAACTTGTCAGTTTTCTATTGGTTTATTTCGAAGGTGGGCGGGATCGTCTGGCAAATCGGCCAATCCAAACCAGAGTTGTAGCTCTGCTCAACTTGTGATTCTTTCAGTTTAATCCTTAGCAGTCAGTCATATTTTATGCAGTCAGTTCTTGCATTTTTATCAAGATATTGTCAAATTTCATTTAATTTCTTTTTGACGATCTTGGCTGCTAAAGACGCTACATGCTACACTTACGGTGCCTGACATGTCCAGCACTGCTTGTTTTTCAGTATAAATGGCATAAAAATATAAGTTTTACATTTTTTCTTTTTTTTAGTAGACAAAAGTAGCTAGAACCAAATTTAGCTGAAGCTAATCTGGTTGCTAACAGTTTCTAAAGTTAGCTACAAACCTAACTAGCTGAATAATGAGTTCTTTTAGCTAGCCTTACAGTTTACAGCTAGGCTAATGCTTCTGTCAGCTGGCCTTTACTTACTTTAACTTTCTTGCTAGCTTTTTATTTTCTTTAGCTTTTAGCTAGCCTTTTGCTACTTTTAGCACGAATTTGTCTTCTATTAGCTGACCTTTTACTTCTTTAAGATTCTAGCTAAGCTTCTGCTTCTTTTAGCTGGCTTTGTTCTATTTTAGCTTGCAATTTCATCACACAGTGATGTGAGTATCAGTCACATGGAGGCAGTGCTTAAAAGCCTGAATTTTGCCTGAAACTCTCAGACTGAAGAAGTCTCTTGGAGGAGAGACGAAACGTTTCATTAGAGAAGAACCCGTCCAGAAGACCTATACATTTTTTTTCTTTTTGCAATTTCATACCTTTCTTGCCAGGTTTTTTTTTCATTAGCTTTTAGCTAGCATTTTGCTTTTGCAGCTGACCCTTCTCTGCTTTTCATTTGCCTTTCCTAGCTGTTTTAATCCTCTAGCTAACTTTCTTCTACTCTAACTTTCTAGCTAGTCTTTTTCTTTTTAAAATGTAGACATTTCTCTTCTTTTAGTTAGTCATTTGTTACTTGGAGTTAGCCTAATTTTTTATTTAGCCTTTTGCCACACTTAACTAGTCTTTATCTTGTATCAGTTAACCTTTTGCTTCTTTTAGCTGGCCTTTTGCTGCTCAAAGGAAGCCTTTTGCAGAATTTAGCATTTAGTTAGCTTTTAGCTGGTTTTCTGCTTCTTTCATCTTAACAACAAAAACTGAAGTTTTGCACTTGTGATTTTTTTTAGACTTAAAAATAGTACAAGCTGCCAACAGCTTCCAAAGTTAGCTAAAGAGCTAATCTGTGAAATGAGAAGCTAGTTCCGCTATTAGCGAATTGGCAGAACTGTGCCCGCCACTGGGATGCATCCAGGACCGTGGTTAACAATAACGACTACGTTTAGTTATGAGTTGTAAAAAATAAAAAACCGTAACTCAAATGCAATTCTCCTGTTTTTCTTTTCTTGCAGACAGGAAGTTCAGGAGAACTGCGTCCGCTGGAGGAAGAGGTTTACCTTCGTGTCCAAGATGAGCGCTAACCCCCACACTGGAGTCCTGGACCCGTCCGTCTGCAGGGTGTCGGTCCGGAAGGTATGACTCCAGGATGGGTTTCCCCCAAAGAATGATGGAGCTGTTACTCACTCTGTCTTTAAAGGGTTATTCCAGTTTATTTCAAAAGATTGAAAACAAAGCTAATTCCATCTGACTGATTGGAAGTCTGTAATCAGAAGGTTAAGAAAATAAGACTCGTGCTCATTACTGTCTTCCTGTTTTTCCCCGCAGGAACTCAAAGGAGGAAAAGCATACACGAAGGTAAGATCTTCCTCTTCTCCTCTCACGTCTGTAAACACAGAAATGGTCACGGCTCAGCCTGCGTCGCTCCCTGTAACCCCTAAATGCCATTTGTTGTAAATATTACCCCTCCAAACACACATCTAACAACGTGTTTGTCATTTTTATTTGTGCCTGGAATCTGCGAAAACATCCTGGCAGCGCCTCCCTGACCGTAATAACTCCGAGCAGATGAGTCACGTCTCACGAACGCAGCTACAGGGTCAAACCTCTCTGAACGTAAACTTAAGCACATCTGTGGACAGGAACTGCTTCCTGTGTTTTTACCCGCTCGCCGTTTAGATTTCCTTGAGTTAAATTTACTCCACTTCCCTCCTTAGAAGTCGGCTTCCTTAAACACTCACCTATGGAAACAGAAGCTTCCCCGAAGAAAAGGGGGATTTAAAAATAACCGTTTCCACCTGATAACCAAGCTTCGAGGGTATCATCGTTTAGATATCTGTGGAATTTAAACCCCTCTGACTTTCACTTCAGGGGTCAGGGGTTTGGAGAAGGGGAAAAAAAAACACGTTCTTGGACCGTTACGACTCTTGACAGAAGAGAGTTTACAGAACATGAAAAACATTTAGATAAAAAGGGCAACAAGTCATCTGTGATTAACGGCAGATACGAGACTTTCTGCTGCTCAAACGTCGGTTCTTGGCTGAAATGAAGGCCTTTCAGTTGATCGTTTGCTGGCTCCGTCCTAGCTGAAATAAACAAGCTCTGCTCGTTTTTTATTTATTTTATTTACGTCTGTGGTGAGTGATTGTTCCAAAGTCTGTGCAACATAAAAGTAAATGCATGATTGAAGGTGCAACTCCGAGCAGAGGAGGGTTCTTGTAAACAAGAGCTTTGTGTTGAAATAAGAAAATTTGACTTCTATGTTTCCTCCTGTGAGCTGAAGGTTTAATTCAGATGTTAAAGATGGATTCTGTGGCAGAAGTATGAACAGTTCATATCTTACCTGCTGTAGATGAAGCTTTGAGCAATCTCAGGCTGTGTCCAAAACAACAGGCCGAGTCCTTTGAAGGTCGAATTTGTCGGCCGCATACGTCACAGCGCCGCGACGAAGGCCGTCCCAAACCGAAGACTCCTCTGATGTGGCCGACAAATACGTCCTTCCTTTGGCCTGAATCGAAGGACTGGTCTGATGGATACTTCCCGGTCCACAATATCCCATAATGCATTGCGGCCCGATTGGACATTTTTTATGCTAGTAATGGCGGATGAAGCGGTAGAAAATAATATGATTTAAATAAAAATATGGCAATATAAAAATTAAAAATTTTTAGCGGTTGTATTTTTAAAACTTTTATCGTTTGTATAGACGTGTTTTTAAATATAATTTTTGTAAAAAAAAACTAACTTAAATAGCAAAATAAACATGCACCTACGGCAGGTCCATTAGTTCTTCAAATGTTACCGTTAAGTTAATTTTATTGTTTTGTGATATTAATAACACTAATATATTTATATTTTTCTAACTTCAATCTAATTTTGCTTCTGTTTAGCGTTGTCACGTTTGCTAGGTGACATGACGTACGCCGGGGAAAGGACGGGAAGCTAGACCGTCCAAATTCACAGCCACTTTTTTCCAGTCTTCCCGGTCTACCAACGACCCGGCCCACCTCGACCAGGTAGACTGGGTCCTTGGGAGACCCGGCCCACCGTTTTGGACACAGCCAGTGTTTAGAGTAATGGAAGCTTTTCGTCAACAGTTAGCATAGTTGCTAACTTATCATTGAAAACCCCATAGAAGAGCTAATTTGATTAGCATTGCACTTGAAATTCATTACACAGACATTTCTAAACAGTCACACTGATAACTTAAAAGTTTTTTTTTAATGTGACCAAGCCCCTTCTTTTTAAAAAATCTCCCAGCTTTAAAAATAATCTGGTTTTGATATTTTTAAACGCGTGGTTTCTGCACCCTGTCATGTCCTCGGACTTCAAACGCTCATGTTCAGCGCTGCTCGGTGCGTTAAATGCTGGGTGTCGCAGGATTCCTCTGGAATAAAGAGCTCCGTTAGCGAAGCTGGAATTAACTCTGTCCAAACTCCTCTGTCACCCTCAGCTGGGCTTCACCGACCTCAACATGGCAGAGTTCGCCGGTTCTGGCTCCACGGTGCGCTGCTGCCTGCTGGAAGGATACGACACCAAGAACACGCGGCAGGACAACTCCATCCTGAAGGCAAGGAGGCCGAACTGAGAGGAAAAACTGATCCAACGCTTCAGGGACTGTTTGGATCTGCAGCAGGAAAATAAGCTCATTAAAGCTGGATCCTTCACAGCTGCTGGAGCTGAAGACAGTTTCCTCATTAGCTGCTGACCTTTGACCTCTGACCTTTCACCCATTGTTTCCAGTCTGGAGTCAGAAGCAGCCAGAAGAGGAAAAGTAGACTGAAGCAGAACAGTAGTTAAAAGCTAAAGGGAGTGAACCTGTAGCTAACAAAAGCAGAACACTAGACAAGCTAAAGGAGCAAACAAGTAGCTAAAAGTAGCAGAACACTAGACACAAGCTAAAAGGAGCAAACAGCTAAAAGTAGCAGAACATTAGACACAAGCTAAAAGTAGCAAACAAGTAGCTAAAAGTAGCAGAACATTAGACACAAGCTAAAAGTAGCAAACGATTAGCTAAAAGTAGCAGAACACTAGACACAAGCTAAAAGGAGCAAACAGCTAAAAGTAGCAGAACACTAGACACAAGCTAAAAGTAGCAAACAAGTAGCTAAAAGTAGCAGAACACTAGACACAAGCTAAAAAATGAGCAAACGAGTAGCTAAAAGTAGCAGAACACTAGACACAAGCTAAAAAATGAGCAAACGAGTAGCTAAAAGTAGCAGAACACTAGACACAAGCTAAAAGGAGCAAACAGCTAAAAGAAGCAGAACACTAGACACAAGCTAAAAGGAGCAAAATAGCAATTAAAAGTAGCAGAACACTAGACACAAGCTTAAAAAAAGCGGAGTGCTAGGCTGGCTAAAAGCTCAAAGAAGAACAATAGACTCAAAGGTGCAAACCGGTAGCTTAATAAGAACACTAGAGTAGCTAAAAGCTAAAAGAAGCAGAACTTATGGTTATAAATGTACCAGGAGCTGACAGACATTTAGCTTTGTTTTCAAACACTCAAACTTCTCTAAATATTTATACGTTTGAATGAAATCATCACAGTTTATTTTTTAAAGTCGATGTGTTTACTTTAAATAAATTCTAAAGTTTAATTTTTAGGTTTTCCTGATATCTTTCTCACCTGTACGATCCGGACTCTGAAGTTGAGGTGGTTCACCTGAACGCCTCCCTCTGGAGGTTCTCTGGGTCTTACTGGGTTTCCCTCCTGGACCTCCTGTCCTCCTGGATCAGGGAGGCGTTCAGGAGCGCCACCCAGAGCCCGTGGACACAAACTGCTCGTTCACTTCTGTCGTCTCGTAGTGAAAACCGTCTCGCCTCGCAGCGTCAGTGAGCTCAGAGAGAATTTATTCCAGGGTTTTCATTTCATTTATTGGGATTTAAACCTTTTTACTCAGGTTCTTTAATTTGTTTTAATGCTGAGCTTTTTATTTTCTTTGACACAAATGAGCTGAAGGAAAACTGTTTTACAGACATTTTTTACTAGACTGTAAAAACAGACGTTCTGTTCTGCGAGTTTTCCAGGTGAAACAAACTTTTCAATAACGACAGTTTTTTATGTTTTTTCTTTCAGGTGATCATCGGAATGACTCTTCTTTCTGGAGATCCGTGTTTTAAAACGTAAGGTTTTTTTTTTTTACCGTACCATTCATTTACTGCACTTTTTCTTAGTTTTAAAACAAATTTGTTGTAGAGCTTCAAAGTGTTTTAGCTGAATTATATATTTTTTATTAACACAGGGTCACTCTTCGTTGCAACAGTGATTCATTTTTTCCTTTCAGCCAACAGATCTGCTTGTCTAATCCGTTCCACACTGATAAAACTGTGTTGTTGTTTCTTCCCCTCCTCCTCCTCCTGCAGCCCTCCAAGTACAGCAAAGTCCATCTCCATCCCGGGACAGGAACACACCCTGCAGCTGGACTGTAAGGGGGAGGGAACCGGGCCAGCTGGAGGGGTTTCTCTGGGCCGAGTTCCGAAGCCTCGGCCTTCCCTCATCGGCTCAGGTACGAGTCTCGGTAGAGCTTTAAATTAGAGTTTTTTATGTGATGTGGATGACTCTCAGCTACTACCACGCATAAAAATCTAAATCTGTTCCAACATTTTAACATCCGCTAAAGTCCAGAATAATCAGCTGTAGATATTTATTTAATGATTACTTTCTAAAAATGTTGTTAAAATCTGTTAATGAATAGAGATATTTTGCTAACAGGCAGAGAAAGAAACTTAGGCACTCAGAGAATCTGTTGGAGGCGACTTTCGGCTGCTAAAACACAAAATTTAGATTTATCTGTTTTTTTTTTTTCAGTAATTTAAGTAATTTTCATTAATCGTTGTAAAACTGGATCTAATCAAAATATCAGATCTTTAGGTTAATTTGCATTAAAACTCAATAACGTTCTGAACAAATTTAAATAAGTAATAAATTCTTTCCTGGATACCGACTCACTGTAACTGACGTTAACTGTAGAGACGTCCAGCAGTTTTAAACTAAATAAACTAAAAGCAGGGACTCGATGAGGTCGTTGGAGCTGAAACTTTGCCTGGTTAGCTGACGTTGCAGCTCTGCATTTCCTCCGAGAGTAAACACAGACATCCCGATGTGCGTTCGTCTGACACGTGTTTATAAACACGAGGAGGGTAACGCTCACGTCCGCTCCCCCCTGGTGCCTGCAGGTCTGCTGGAGGAGCCGGAGGCGAGCCAGAACCAGGTCGGTCCCGCAGAAGCCTTCCAGACCGGACACTCCCGGAACTCCAGCTACGCCAGCCAGCACAGCAAAATCTCAGGTGCAGAACTCACCTGTTGGTCCTAAAGAACAAATGTTCACATAAATACTGCTGTTCGTTTGTGTTGATGTGAATTTATTCTGATAATTTTTAAAGAAGTGAACTGTTTGATACTTTTAAATTACTTACTTTAAATTAATTACTTTATTTGCTACTTTAACTTTCTAGCTAGGCTTTTGCTCCTTTTAGCTTCTAGCTAGGCTTTTGCTTATTTAACTGGCTTTGTTCTTCTTTTTAGCTAGCCTTTACCTACTTTAATTTTCTTACTAGCTTTCTCTTTTAACTTGTACCTAACATTAAGCTACTTTTAACCTGCATGTTGCTATTTTTAGCTGATGTTTTGCTTCTTTAAGCCTCTAGCTAACTTTCATCTACTCTAACTTTATAGTTAGCCATTTGCTTTATTTAGTTAGCATTTGCTTTGTTTAGTTAGCCATTTGCTTCTTTTAGCTAGCCATTTGCTTCTTTTAGTTATCCATTTGCTTTGTTTAGCTAGCCATTTGCTTCTTTTAGCTAGCCATTTGCTTCTTTTAGCTAGCCATTTGCTTCGTTTAGTTAGCCATTTGCTTCGTTTAGCTAGCCATTTGCTTCGTTTAGCTAGCCATTTGCTTCGTTTAGCTAGCCATTTGCTTTGTTTAGCTAGCCATTTGCTTTGTTTAGCTAGCCATTTGCTTTGTTTAGTTAGCCATTTGCTTTGTTTAGCTAGCCATTTGCTTTGTTTAGCTAGCCATTTGCTTCTTTTAGTTAGCCATTTGCTTTTGTTTAGTTAGCCATTTGCTTCGTTTAGTTAGCCATTTGCTTTTGTTTAGTTAGCCATTTGCTTCGTTTAGTTAGCCATTTGCTTCGTTTAGTTAGCCATTTGCTTTTGTTTAGTTAGCCTTTTGCTCCACTTAGCAAGTCTTTAGCTTCTATTAGCTAACTTTTTTTGCTTCTTTTAGCTGGCCTGTTGCTGCTGTCAGCAAGCTTTTTGCAACATTTAGCTTTAACTAGCCTTTTGGCTGTTCTTGAAGCCAGTCTTCAGTATATCGATCTGTATTTGTGCAGAAATGTAAAATCTGTCTTTGTTTGTTTTTCTGACCTCCTCTCCCTCTCCTCTCCTCTCCTCTCCTCCCCTCTCCTCTCCTCCCCTCTCCTCTAACCCTCCTGCAGGGTACAGCACGGAGCACTCCTGCTCCTCCAGCCTGTCGGACCTCACCCACCGCAGGAACACCTCCACAGGAAGCAGCGCCTCCGGGGGTTTGTGCTTCAGTGCCGACACCCCACCGGAGGGAGACAAGGACGCCGGACGTCCAGAGAGACCCCCTCGCCCCCCGCGGCCCGTGCTGCTTCCCAACCGACCTCCCAGGTGACGCCACGGTTACTCTGATCAAAGGACCGACGGCTGAGACGAGCTTCTAACTTCAGCTGTTTTTGTCTTCTCAGGAGGAAGCAGGACTCTGTGGAGAGCCATCCCTCCTGGGTGAACGACACCCGCATCGACGCCGACGACATCGTGGAGAAAATCGTCCAGAGTCAAAACTTTGCAGATATCAACAACACCGAAGGTAGGTTTTGGTTGAGGGGTTGCAGCAACAACGGTTGCATCAGAGTTTTAATCTTTGCTCATGTGGAGCTGAAGCAACAAGATGCTTAGTTACAGAATAAAAGATCCGTGTTGCAACATTTCTTACAGCTGAACTCGATCAGTCAGACGCAACTCAGTCAAGTTTAATTTGACATCAGCTGTCACTAAACAACACACAAAATAACATTTCTGTAAATAAAACAAGGCTAAGTCCACACTGCAGGCAAAAGTAGCCAAAATTTGATTTTCTATCATGAGAACTAGTTAGTTAGTTAAGTTTATTAATTTCTTTAAAAAATAACATAAATTCAACA